TCCACATCTTCCCCTCTGCCAGCTTCCTCTTCATCCCTGACGAGTGTCAAGCCTGCAGTGGAATCTCTTCTCTCCACGCTTCCTCCTTCTTCTCAGCCTCTTCCTTCCTCGGAGTCAGATCAACCGAAGGACAAAGACTCGCTCCCCGTCACAGACACACGGACACAGGGGTGGTCACAGGGGTCGCCCACTGTGGATGTAAAGACACACCCCTCCGAAATCAACACATGGACTTACACAGGGATCGACATACGGACACAAACACGCCCAGAGGCGCAGACTCACACTTTAGACTCAGACTCCAGGACATCCGTGGATTTGCCAATACATCCGCCACAGGACGTCTCGAGGCAAGGAAACTACATGCAGCAATACACACCCCAGCATCTCCCACCTCCTCCCCTCCCTCAGATGCTTCCCCTCTCTTTCTCCCCTCTCCTGCCGCATTCCCACATCCCTCACAGACCTCCAGGGCTCCCCCAAAACACCCTCTCCAGTCCTTCCCTTCCCACACAGCCTCAAACGCTAAACTCTTTTCTCACCCAGAAAGCACCGCCACATTCGGTCCACCTGAGCCCGCTTCACCTGCATCACCAACCAAATATCACCACACAGTCCCAGCCGTACTTCCAGCCCCCACTAATGGCCTCCCCTCCTCTAAGCTCCCCCCTCACTAACACCCAGTCTCTCTCCCCTCACCTTTCCCATCCACACCAGTTCGCCAAAACCTTCTTCCCCGCCCAGCATCCCGGCTTCACCTCCCACCCCTTCCTCCCCCCTCAGCCTTTCCTCTCGCAGCCGCCGGGTGCTTACCCCCTACAACCGCAATACCAGACCTCAGCATCCATGCAGGTTCAGCTCTCCCTGTCACAGTCTTTCCCTCACCCACCTCCTCCTCCACCGCCATCCTCCTCCCCACACCCCCCTCCTCCCCCGCTTCCTCCTCACCCACCACCTCAACCTCGCCCTGCTGTTTTCCCCCCACCCCCAAACCACGAAGAGGAGCCGAAGCAGATTTTATAGTAGTATTTTGTACGTAATGAAACTCTTTTTAAATGACTGTATACGTATAAGGTTTCATTTTGGTTGTGCTGTTGTAAAACAATGTAAAATAAATAACTAAAGAGGGAGAAAGCAGACACAGTATCATAGTTTATCAAGCAGCGTTGGACTCGATATAACCCAGACCTCTGGACTGAACTGGCTTAGATTGTACAGATGCTTTGGTCGTGCACAGGTTAAAAAGTGTGATGGAGAATTCCTTTCATTTACAGGTAGCTTTGGCCTTTAGCCATCTGAACTCTGAAGGAGAGATTATTCAGGCTCAAATGAGCCCTGTCGTCTGCCAAACTGCTGTCTGGCACTGGTTTTTTTTGTTTTGTTTTTAAGTGAAGTGAGCATAAGTCCTTTCAAACATCAGATTATCTGTGAGCCTGTCAGATGTAGGAAGAGAAGATTTCTCCAGACTTGTGTCAGATATTTATATAAATATAGAATAAAGGTTGTAAGTGTGGCCTTTTTGTGAAACTTGCAGCTAATGCTTCCATTTTTGTGGCTTTTTTTTTCTCGTATGTTCTCCGTGCCCAAGACTGTTTCTGAAATAATGATGGATCACCGCTGGTGTATTGATTTAATGTTCCTACACTTCATTACTGTACTGTACTATACAGTCTATCACAGTACTTTTCCCTAATATTGTATTTAGAGCTATAATGTTGCTGTAGTTTTTTTAATGCTACTCAACATTATCTGAGCTCCAGCATGCAGTAGAACTGCATTCAGTCAGGCCACTAAGAGTCACATTTTCAAAGTACTGAGGTTGTCCTGTGCTGGCTGCCCTTAACGCCACAGTGGGCTCTTTGTGTAATTTTGCTGCTTTTCTTTTTTTGTTTTTCGCCCGTCTCCTGGATGTGTGCCAGGGTTTCCTAATTTTGAGAACAAGTTTTGTGAACAAACTCGACCCAGGGCCTCCAGAAGTCTCAGGAAAACGCATTCAGGGCACATCCTGAACCTCGAATTTTATCCCCTTAACCGGATCTGTGTGTTTTATTAACAAGCAGCTACGATGACAGCTCACTGTGAGCTAGGATTCAAAGAGCAATATCATACAGATGCAGCATAGCCAAGACATCCCAAACGTGACTCACCACAGCAGTTTTAGTGCGTGTGAAAATGCAGTTGGTATTATTGTGGAAACTTTGAGTCGAGACTTGCAGATTCCATTAGATTATCCACAGAGCAATTTCAGGTTCTTCCAAGACTGTAACTTCAGTGCATTCAGGCTCACTTTTTATTTATTTTTTTTAATTTACACTTCGAAAACAGACGGTACGCTGTCAAGAGCTTGTTTCCAAAGCACTATTTATCTATTTACCTGAAGTCTGCTTTCTCTACAGTGTGGAGTCTATGAAATGTTTTATTTATGAACCACAGACTGAAGTGTTTAAAAGTACAGTAAATTATTTTATGTGGAATTTTTAGCAGCGCCTATGAAGAATATATGTTTCTCCAAATATCTGATCATGAGAGTCTGTCTCGGTGCATGTCACAGAGTTGTATATCTTTGTTGGTGTCTTGATTTTGTTTCGTCTTTTTTGTTTTTTACTATCGATATTGCTAATGTAGCCCACATTTCCCCAGTGCCTGTCCTTAACTGTGAAATACTAAATGGTCCAGAGACATACAGTGAAGGGGTCTTAGTTTTAACTGGAAAATCAGAGCAAAGCCTTAAATTGGTGTCTAAAGCCGCTGAAAGCTCTCCAAACATCTGAGGTC